AAAAAAGTAATGTCAACTGATAAGCAGACACTCACATCTGATGGCATTTGAGGAAAAAAACATGTCTGATAGTAAGATGTTAAAACATTTTGAATTTTAAACCTAGGCTCATTGGAAAAATGTGTCTTTATAACGTTGGTTGCTGGCAGTTCGGAAATGAAATGTCCAGTGACTGGTGCTAAAACGTTGATTGTCTCTTGCGTTTGAAAATAACTTATCTCTCACAGATTGCTTAAGCTAAGTATAAGCGCATGACGAAGAAGAATAGTTCAATACACAGTCTTTAATAAATCCACAGGAAAACAGAGGAAATCCAAAACAGCAAAGCAAAAGAATATCCACATTAATAACCGGCAACAGAGAGAACTAAACGAGGAGAATAGAAACAGAAGGAAACACAAAAAAAAGTCCTAGACCGTGACAATACTCCCCCTCCGTCCAGGCACGACCTCGTGCTGTAACAAAACAAGGGACAGAGGAGGACTTTGGAGAAAGACAAAGGAGTGGAGTTAGGATGAGAGGGGGGACGGCGAAGGGCAGGCAGGAAGGCAGGCAGATGACCAGGGGGTGACGATGGAGGGAGGAGCCACAGAGGAATTTGGAGGAACCATGGCGGTGGGAGGAGCCAGAACGGGGATAGGAGGATCCAGGGTTTCGAAGACGGTGGGAGGAGCCAGGGAGAAGACAGGAGGGAGCCGGAGAAGGAGGAGCCTGGCGGGACCCATACCGTAGACATGAAGGCGGCCCACGGTGGAGCTGATGGAGGGAGGAGCCATGGTGGAGGAAGGGCTGATGACTCCAGGGGGCTGACTGACAGCGGCGGAGCAGGTGGTAGAGGAGCCCAGGATGGAGACGGAGAGCCGCAGAGCCAGGGAAACACCGAGGATCCTGAGGGCAAAGGCGGAGCAGATGGCTCAGACGATCGAGGCATAGGCGGGGATTCGGAAGGCCACGGTGGAGCCAGGGCGACAGAGGACCAAGTTGGAGCCAGAGGGAGGGAGGAGTCCAATGGAGCCAGAGGGACAAAGGGACAAGGCAAAGTCAAAGGAGTGTTGTTCCAATGCGAGGGTAGGTCAATGACCGACCAAGGCGGAGCCGGAGGGACAAGGGAGCCCAGCGGAGCTGGTGGACTGACGACCTATGGTGGAGCCGCTGGGTCGATGTACCGAGGCAGAGTTTGGGCCTCGGAGGTCGGCGGCAGAGACCACAGTAGAGTTGGAGACTGACAGACCCAAAGCGAATCCACTCAACAGATGGAGAGATGAGGATGGGCTGAGGGACTGACAGGATGCAGCGGCAGCATGGCAGAAGATGGCAGACTCATGAGAGGAGGTGGGAGAGGGAGGCTGGGTGGGAATTCGTGACGGACGGGACTTTTTTGGGAAGGTGTATGCCGCCCACACACATCAAAGCGTGACTTCCAGCACAGGGAGCGTGGCGGACAGGAGAACGACCTCCGGGGTCGTGACAGGGATGACAGACAGTTCAGGGCAGACAAACAGTTCATAAACGGCCTCCTTGGCCGTAACAGGAAAGGCAGAGAGTTCAGAAGAAAACGGGAGAAGATGGGCGAGGCTTTCCTCCGTGCCCTCACTCTCCACTGTGTAATCCTCCGTGGCATGCTTCGTTGCCAGCTCACACACCTGCTCAGACGTCAAGTGAGGCACTGGCTCTGGGGCAATCCTCAGCTCTGTCGCTCCTTTTAGCGATGGCTCGTCGGTCGCGGCAGGCACTGGCTCTCCATCTGGGCTCTGGCTGTTGCTCCGCGCAGCGGGGTAGTGATTGGCTGGGCTCTGGGTCAGGAGTGGGGCTGGTGAGTTCCTCATCAGCGTAGTAAGCAGTCACCAGCGAGTTACAGTTTGCAGCACCCACTCCACGAAGGTGGCGAAGCTCTCCAGAGGACCCTTCCCGGACAACTTTGCCTGTGTAGCGGTGTTGAGGCTCGCCTGGTAAAATGAACACAGGCAGTTGTCCGGGTACTGTGTAATATTGGCATTCTCTGCAAAGATCACAGTATGGGCCTAAAGAGAGCGGTTTCCCTGCTCCAGCAGGAGGAGAAGGAATTCGGGATAGTCCATAATAAATAAAAGAAAAACTTTCAAAAAACAAAAAGCAAACGCGGACACACACACCGGTTATTCTGTTTAGGGCCGGTTATTCTGTCACAGATTGCTTAAGCTAAGTATAAGCGCACGACGAACAAGAATAGTTCATTACACAGTCTTTAATAAATCCACAGGGAAACAAACAGATGAATTCCAAAACAGCAAAGCAAAAGCATATCCACATTAATAACCGGCAACAGAGAGAACGAAACGGGGAGAATAGAAACAGAAGGAAACACAAACAAAAAACCAGGACCGTGACAGTATCACATTCACTAAACCCTACCCTAAACCTAACTGATCGTGTTAACAAAAGCAGACATGAGATGAAAATGCATTTGCTGAAACAAACATGGCATTAGCTTGTCTTTACAAGTGTTTGTGCTCTTTTATTGCTGTAACAGGTAAACTACCTAGCAAGTTTACTATATGTCAGAAAAGCCATACATATGGAGCTGATTATGTGAAAAAAGAGGTTATAACATAGTAACATAGTGCAAGGAACTATGTGAAAATAAGCCTTCATAGAATAATCTGCCCTTTCTCATTATTTATAATTTATAATTTGGAAACTAGTGAATTGTACGTAGGTTCTTGGAGTATATATATACATATATATATATATATATACACTGTACGTAAATGTGCATTTTTTCCAGAAAGCCTGTGTTGATTTTATCCCTTTTTATACTGCAGCTTTTCAGATCTCCATGTGGTGTGAGTGACACTATACCTTTTTTTTTTTTTTAGATTAAAATTATTGGTGCCATGTATCAGGGGGTATGCAAAAGGGGATATAGATGACTTTAATAATAATATAAATATGCCCAACTGAGCTAAACCAATTTTGCTGGGAAGTAAAGCATATGCTAAGGCAGGATTTGGCCATAAAATGTATGACACATTTTGTTTTAAAAGTGTTTTGTTTTGTTTTTGACAATGGTGAAAAGGTGAAGGACAGTGTCACACAGCCACAGTGTTTATACTGTTCAGCGAAATCAACATGACTTATAGTTGTCTCTGAATATTTAGTTGGTACTATAATGCAAAAAAAAAGTAAAAATGGCTTTAACTCTTTGTGTTGTTTTTTAAAATAGAATGTACAAAAAAATGCACATAAAATTATACATATTAATGTATACTGCTTCATTTTAGATTTTTATAAAATATCGTATTAATTATATAACATTCATGTACAGTTAAATGCTTAGGAACACACATTTTCTTTAAACACAAAACCTATTTATTAAATACTTTTAGTATCTAAAAGTATATCTATTAAAAATACATAGTTTTTATGTTTAGTTGACTACAATATCAGCAACAAGATGTGCAAAGCTGGACTAAGTTTGTCGGGCTTCTTTTAACACATGTCAAATTGTCTGTTGTACTCTGCAACATTTTTAAAACACCTTAGCAGAACTATAATATCTTGTTTTCTAGGGCTTTATAAACTATAATGAAAATGATGAGGATGTCAGGGTTCATTTTAAGAGGAACATGACAGAGAGCAATGTCATTCAGCAACAGGAACATGATGGTGAATAAGTAATGAGTAATGAGTTTGTTGCATTCAGAGTTCATTTCACATATCTCAAAACTTAAGATATATAACAATCTCAATCTTGTGTTAAATCAACTGACAGATAAATATTAGTCATGGAGGTTTGACATGTTCAAAGATGTAAAAGACACAACAGGCCGGAGACTTAAATGCCTGATTTTTTCCATTCTTTGATGTTTTGAAAAAACTGTTTATAAAAGTCTATCAGCGGCAATAGATTGGTTGAGCATGTTGTGCTGATCTGAGATGAAACACTCATGACCACATGGCTTATCATGTGTTCAGTGAGGAGGTGTCACCACTGTTGTAGCTTACAGGTCCTGCATGTTATGTACTTTTCTCCATCTCTATGTCCTCACACACAGTATGTCACTTTAGAACATTTATCTGAGACAACCTGAGCAGATAACACATCTATGTCATATAAGGTTCCTTAATATGCAAAACATGTCTGATGCATTTAAATTTACATTTCAGCCCATGATAATTCAGCTGTAGAAAAGAGTGTTTTAGTGTTTGGAGAGTGTTGTAGCATGTGGTGAGTTGTAAAACCACCACTGAATTGAATTAGAAATCAGTTACATGCACAAAATCACCTTCATACATACCCATAACCACCTTATTTATATATGTATTTAACATTTATATAAAACTAGAAATGCCACTACCGATCAGATGAAGATCTGTAACACTTTCAATATTCTTCTAAAGACTGCACAAAATGAAACAAAAATGTATTTAATTTTTGTTTCCAATTTCATTTTCTGTTTTGATTGTCAGTTGTTTCTTATAGGCTATGCATCCTGTGTTACACTATAGGGTAGTTTGTACTGTATAAACAGAACAGTTTTGGGATGTTATACATTTTTGAACTACTTTTATTTGTAACAAACAAATATGTGAATATTTGCAAGAGAAAAAACACTTAGTTACAGATGTACAGTAAAAATGTTTTACACTACTTGTAGGTGACAAGCATTAACATAAATGCCACATAAATAAAAAAATTTTAAAAGTCGTTAAATTGTCAAGTAATATGAACATCAACAGTTCAGAGTTGTTAATTAAGCATTTAATTTTAGATTTACTTTATATTTTCATTTATCTGAGACGCTATTTAAAGGCGGTTAAATACTGAAACGCATTAAGTATGCAGTCCATACTTTCAGAGCAGTGTGTATTTTAACATATAATAAGGACATAGCAACAAATACTATTAAATAAAACCAGAGAATAACAACTTTTAGCATTTCCCAAGCAGTGCCTAAATGAAATATCTTGGTCAGCACACCATGTTTCTAAGCCATGTGCAGCATGCGTAACAGACTCACCAGGTGTCTCTGGAAATTTGCGATCGATGATATAAATGGGCATCACCAACCGCTCAAACATCCATCAAATCCGTGAGAAAGATACCCTCCTTCCAGATCGATGACTTTTAAGAGTATTCTGGGTTCCCAGGATATCAATAACAAATCATTCAGTGCTGTCAGTTCCCTTGGCTACCTGTTAACGTCGCGATAACGGGGTGTCCTTGTGTCACACAGTTATTATTGGTGCGCATAAGAAAACACCTGGAAAACGCCTTAGGATTAATTCAGCGAAAAGAACGATGTGAGACAACAGCGAAGTACTTAAGTTCAGCCGGTGTCTAATGTTGCCTCCCACGAAAGGCGGTGTTAAAGAGTGGCTGAGGCTGGCAGCAATGCCAGCGCGGAGTCGAGCGCGCAAATGTGCGCTGATCTCGCACCAGTAAAGGATCAACGCGTAACTCTGCGCTCCACTTAGATGCGTATATTTCAGGCACTTCTGCACTTTTTCTAGAATCTGTAAGGTTTTCCTTACTGTGAGAGTTATACTAAGACAGTTAAGGGTTCCGACAGCAATTTTCGGGGAACAATCCTTGATGTTCTTCTCGCGCAAAATGTTCCGTTGGCTCATCTAGAGCAGTTAGCTATAACCGTCAACTGTCTTCCTTTAAAGAAACCATTAAAGTTTTTTGTGATTCTTTTTATTTATTATATCTACAAGCGCTCGAATAGCGTACTGTTGCTATAGCAACCTCTTCAGGCGACTTTTGTTCATGTGCAACAATTTAACTTTTGTGTTTTTAAGTGTTGTCTAAAAAACTTAATTAAGGGTTAAGGTTTTAACCCCAACCCATATAATTCACATAATTTCATTATTTATAAAGGTCTGCACTATATGTCCACACTGATGATGGCAGGCAAATGAAAACATTTGAAAACAAGACCCTTGGAGCAAGTATTAATGATTGTCAACCGTCAGTTGGTCATGAAACCTGTTTGTCTTACTTTACCTTAATGTCTCACTTCTGGCTGAACTTACCATAGTAATATCAACCACACTTAAAACTATCTGAAAAAATTTTTTTTTTTTTTTTTTTTTTTTGTAATTTGATTTATATTTGCAATTAATATTTTGAATTTCAGACCAGCTTCTCCCACAGATGGGAGATAAATGCCATTGCATAAAATAGGCTATGTCTAAGTTATCATAATATTGTTCATTTTAATATTGAACATGTGGAAAAGTTTTATAATTGCAGCTGTGTGACAAAAAAATAAATAAAGTTTGCAGTCAATGTAGAAATAACAAACATAATCAGGCTATAAATATTACTGTAAAATAGCTAAATGAATAAGTGCTTTGCATTTCTTTGTGTTTTCACATTTTGCTTGTGCTATTCCAGACCCTGTTGTTTACCATTACCATTTAACAGCAAAAGGTCAAAACAGCACAAACCTGTGAGGTCAGTGACATGCCACAGGTTTAACACGGTAGTGAAACTACAGGGCAATTTGACACCACTACTCTCTTTGCAGCAGACTATGGTAACAGTTCTTTTAAACAGGTTTTAGGCCTATGTGAGATTAAATATGTTTCAATATGATTTTTTTTTACAGCAGCATTCCCCCAAAACATGAATTCTGAAGTGGTTAAAAGTTTTCATTTAAGTCCAAGTCCAAGTCCTCTGTGTTCTAATTGTTTTTATGTTTAACTCTAAATCAGTTAGACTAGTGTACTCAAAAAAAAAAGAATCCCTGTGTCCAAATTTTTATTTAAACAAAGGGACTTTGGAAAACAATCTGTTCCACTTCAGCACAGTTTATATTACCATATGCAGTCACTTTATTGTATTGTGCAATCAGGGATTCATCAAGGAACCAACTTTTGTTCCACCATCACTGAGAGCCCAGTGCACTTAATATAATGACACACACCAGGACAGGATGTCTTTGGTGACTCCAGAGGTTATTTGAGATCTGAAATAGTGTAGGGCTAATGAGGACCACTCTTATTTGGTTTGTTATCTGACTGTCCAAAGGGAGTACAAAAGACCACAGACCAGTTGGAAGGTGGTAGTTCAGCGAATTCTTTGTGATGAGGAAAATATTTGCTAATTTAGGAGAATATTTGCTAATTTACTTCTCATATAGCACAAAATGTAAAAATATTTCAAAGAGGCCATTATACTGCACTAGTGGGGTATGAACATATTTAGATTTAATTGCCTTTATTTTAAATGAAGATATGTCATAGTAGCAACAATTTAGATCGAATGATTTCACTCAATTAACCTGCAGCTTTAAATGAATAGATGTCTGAAATGTACATGTAACTCATGGAATTACTGAATAATTATCCTTTGAGTATCACAATAAAAAAAAAACACAATGTGCAGATAGACACAAAAAAAACTTCAACATAATGTCACTTTCTATTCTATCTACTTGTTTTTCTTTGTGTGTGTGTGTGTTTAGTTGTGTGAAAGCTGAATGAATTAGAGTTTTATGTCTCTGTTTTAAATGCAGATACTGATGTGTTTTTTTATATTTAGAAACACATTCTATGTTTTTATTGCAGGGTTGAATTAGTTTTAATATATAAAATAATCACATAAGAGTGAACCACTCACTAACACTTCAGTCAAGGAATTCACACATTTCACAAAAACAATTACACTGATGGGCAATAAAATATCACTCTAATCTTTAATAGCAGAACGTGCAACTGTCAGAGGACTCACAGAAAATAGTTTTGCTTTAATGAATGTGAACTTTATGGTATATTTTACGTTTATAGAATTAACCGCTTCTTATTAAATGGTGTGTTGCAAGATTTATATGTCAACGCAATGGCAACTATTCAGCATAACAATCCTTTATTTAACATTGCTTCGAATAAAGTGAAATAAAAATAGCTTGATTGGCTCTACCTGCTGTATATTTCTGCTATTATATGTTGATAGTTACAAAAATGGAAGCTATAGACTCTATGTAAAAATTAAACAAACGTAATTATGTGTATGTGTTTGTTACTGCTTTGTTGGCAGATATACCAGTGACTGTGTAAGCATGAGGCCATCATCCATCCGATTACATCTCCCAACATGCACACACACACACACACACACTCAACTACACAAACTAACCCTGTCTGGCCAGTCTTTAGTCTAGAGGCCTAGGGGAAACATTTTATTTGCAATTTCCTCAGAATTTACATCTGCATTGTTGCTTTTACACACATAGAGACAAATACACATCCATTCCAGCAGGAGACTATAATTAGAAAGTTAGAATTTACCTTTGTCTTGGTCTACTACCCCCTAGCCACACTACTCTGTGATGTAGAGACATGTTATTTTTAGCATACAAATTCAGCAAGGTTTTCTGATATGTATGAGGCTGAATTGAGCTCAGGGTCACAAGAATCTGGTGGGTTAGAGGGTTGACGTATGTTAAGAAACTAACACATATGTGTATAAAACATAAATAAAACTTGGCTCAGTTCAGTCAAACGCATTAAACGCATTTTTAGATTTAACACTCAGAGCTTGTTGCAGATGTCTGGCATTATGAGTGCATTTATGTACACATGCTTTGGATACTTTTGTTTTTTCTATGTGGGAGTCTGAGTGTTTTATTGAACTATCTCTATATGGATAGTGAGAATTAAAGGTTAAATTCTCAATATCTATTTGTCTGAATATTTTATGCTGCTTTCAGGGCAAATTTTCTCATTATTACATGCACATTCACGCAACTAAGGAAAGTAATATAATATAATATAATATAATAAATATATATTATAATATATATAATAAGCCTGCTGTGACCATGATATATGTGGCATCTGTTTCATTATTGATGTTCTTCATAGCAATATGGAGAACAAAGAAAATAAACATCCCACACAACATTTTACAAAATGTATTATAAAGTTCTCAAGCATAATCAGACTTTATTTTCCACCCACCCATCAATGCCACCTGTAATTCACTTCTCTTACATATGCATTTCGCTGCTAATGTGACAGGAGGTGAGTCTGCAGTTTGTTTTGATGGAATATTTTGGTGTTTTTATCAGTGTTGGTGTGTCCCAGGGACCCAAGCCACATTAGTGGGTGATCTGTCTTCACGGCAGGCATGTTAAGTAGGCAGTAGCTGATGAAAGCTATCTCTCTGCATTCCTGCTCTGACACTGCCACTCACAGATATCTGCACCTATAATGAAGCGCTGATTTAGCCGACGAACCACCGATAGAGATCAGAGATGGGATGCAAGCAGGGGCGGACTGGCCATCTGGGCGTTCTGGAGAAGTCCACCCGATGGCCGTCGGCCTGGCTGGTTCATCATCAGAAAAAGTGTCAGATTAAGTGACGTTGACGGCCGACAAAAGGGGGCGCTAATGCAATCTATTTTTGCTTAATGCTTATAAGAAACCGAAACTGACGCGAAGGAGAGTGGGCTCGTGATGGCAAGCAAAACAATGTGAAGATAAAGGCGGTTGGGAGGAGCTAAAAGAAAAAAAAGCAAACAGTTACATCAGGTTACCTTTGCCAGCCAATCTCACTATAGAGCATGTTGCCTATAGCACTATAGTAAAATTCCAGGACACCCCTAGTCCAAGCGTCCACTGCCATTTATCACTCAGCATTGTCTGACATGAATATTCCATTCATTCATAAAGATTATTCATGCGTGATGCAGACCTAATGTTTGCGCCACCGATCACAGAACTCACAGCTAATAAACAATCCTCCACCAAGACCGAGGCGTCTGGCATGCATTTACAACCATGCCTAACAGTCATCCCCAGATAGTCTCCCGTGTTTGTCTCCATTACTCGGAGCACGCTGACCAAAGGTCAGCTAAAGCCCTACAAACTTTACTCACAAACAAGAACTTTTAATCCAACTCAAAAATAATAGAAAAATAGAAAGTTGGAACTCACTCAAGAACGCTCTCACTCACACCAACCAACTCCACTGTTCTCGCACATGCGCACACACACACACAGAGAGAGAGGGAGAGAGAGAAAGAGAGACAGACATATGAATACTCAAATTGAAGAATTCTGTTGTTTCAGGTTTCTAGATTCTAGGTTTGTTTATCATTGTCATATTATACAGTTTGCGTTCTGCTCTTTTTATGTAGATTTAAAGTATTTTAGTTCATACAATAATAAATTTATTTCAATCCCCTGCTGAAAAAAATAGAAACCATCACATAATTTGTAATGGTTTTACTGGTTATAATGAAAATTGTATTGGTTTTAATGGA